GTGCTGGTAGGAGCAAGGGGGAAGAGCTAGGCAAGGAGTAGTTTCATTATTGCTTTTTGTAATGCCCTAATTATGTATAGTATGTAAATGAATATATATATATATATTGGCAACTAGGATTTGCATAATGTTTTTGAATATACTTGCATGATGTGAATGATGTTGAAGATAGCATTTTGGCCTAGATTGTAGTTTTGAGATATTATTATGGTGCACAACCAAAATGCTAGTGCAAGTACATAATGAATGCTATTTGACTTAGTTATGTTGTGAAATGGCCAATTTGTACAGTGTATAATGCCTTATGCATTTGACTACATGCATTTTAAATGAGATTGGGAGTTTGGACTATCCAAAATCTTGTTTGAATTGTATTATTGCATGTACAATCATTCAATTAGGTGTTTGTTGGTCAATTAGATGTGGTTCAAGCCTTGGTTGAGGCTAATGGAAAATGGTTGAGTTTTAGGACACTTGGTTGCACTTTCCTATTGTAAAAGTGACCATTTTACATCATGGTGTCCAGCTTTTAAATGAAATGTCAATTTGGAAAGAAACCAATGCCATTAGCTAAGTAACTAAATAAAATTTATGTGGGCACTTGAATCATTCTAATCAGACATCAAATAAAGCAACTATGCACTCTGAAAGTTGCCCTCTAAATGCTAGCATGACAGTAAATGTGCTATCATGAAATGTTTTGTGTACCACAACAAAAAGTGTTATGCACTATGGAGTATAAGACCGTGGCACACATGGCCACAACTAAGGATGCATTGGCCATGGCATATGCTTCTATGTCATTCGCCATAGAGGATGAAATGTTGGCTGTTACAGATGTGCTAGGGGAATAAATTAATGTTTGCCCTTGATTTGAATTTTTAATTTAGCTCCGATGCTTCCTTGTGTTTTCAAATTTGATCTTTAAATTGTGTTGACTTTAGCAACTTTTACAAAAAGGTTTTAAAATGGGATCCTATATTGAAATTTAATTATTAATTCAACCCTTTCTTCCATGGTATCTAGAGAATGTTAAATCCTTTACCATGATGTTGATTATTTATGGTGTTCCAGTAATTTCAAGGTGAACGTTACATTTTTGCTAAACAAAGTTCGATTGTGGAGCCTAGAGAGGGAAGATGGTTCTCTGGCTTTGAAGGTTTGGATTCATCAGTGGATTTGAATTGGGAAAGAAGAGGTCCCATGCTTCTTGATTGAACAAATGGAATTCTTCATCATACATGCATTGGCATTTTTGGTCAAGGGGCTTATTGTTGATGAAGAGGGAGAAGTTAATTTTTTTTTGTTATTTTTGACTTACATGTTTTCCATGTAGATGCCATATCAATGCCACCTAAACATTAATGTTGGTTCCACACCACCCAACCAACAATCATTTGCTTTCTTTTAATAGCAAGGGTGAAATCATTACATTTTAATTACTTTAAAGATGAAATTACTCTAACAAATAATTTAAGACATTAGATTCTCCTTAGAGAATAATTCAGGAGAAAAAATACACCTTTTACCTTACTATATAAAATTACAAGAAGATATTTTCACAATAGCCATGAAAAAACAAACTATGATACCTTTGAAAAGTTAGAATAAGATATTGGTCTTTCTTGAATTTTGTTTAGTTTAATTATTATTTTTGTTATCTCCTTTTGTTCCATGTTATCTTCTTCAATTGATGACCATTATATTCACTATTAAAGAAATTTAAAATTACAACTTGCATAATTTATTTGCACTTAATGTCTTTGTTTTTCATATTTAATTTTAGTTTTATATTTAGTTAAAGATGACTTCCTCAAACTCTGACGGGGATATTCCTGGAAAAGTAATCAACTTCACATTTTACAAAAATTAGTTATCAATAAATTTATTATTTATGATGGCAAACTAGACTATGGAAAAGTATGCATAAAATGCATTGATAAGCATGATGTTTATCACACATATGAGAAGATTCAAAATCGCCAATTGACAAAACACACCCAAAAAAAAAAAATGTTAGTATATTTATATGATTGGTAACAAACATATGTGATTGATGATACAGGAATTATGAATTTTTTTAAAATTATTTAAAAATTTTACTTGTAAAAAGCCCTACTACTTTACTTATTTTTTTAAAAAATATACTCCCTTCGTTTAAAAATATAATATATTTTTTAAGAAGTTGGATATTAAAAATGTAAGACTTTTTTAGTCTTTCGAGATGTAATCATTATTTTTTTAAAAAAAATGCTCTTATTGATAATGACTTTATTTTATTGTAGGGCGTTTAATAGAAATAAATGTGAAAAAACAGGGTTAGTTAGAAACTAGGTAACTACTTTATTAGGGGTGGGATTCGGTTAAAAATGCCTTATATTTTTAAACGAAGGGAGTATATATTTTGTAAAATTTTATTATGTTTGTTTAAAGTTTTAAAAATAATCTAAAAACAGATTTATGATTATTTTGAGAATTTTAAATAGCTTTTGAAAATAATCTAATGCAATAATTTAAAGAGAATGTTAAAAAAAATGAGAAGAAGCACAAAGGTATCATAAGATTTTAAAGTAATTAAATAATAAATTATTTTTATAAAGCATAAATTTATGAAGATATCATAAAATGTAAAAATAATTAATTAATAATTACTTTTTTATTATTACTTTTTTAAAATAAATTTTTTATTATAACTAAATATAAAATAATATTTATAAATTTTTAAATTATTTAAAAATCACTTATTTTCTAATTTTAAATAAACAGGTTCTATATACGCACGAGGCTTCTGAGATGATTTTCTAAAATTTAAATACGTTAAAAAGATATAGACGAAGGGTTTTTTATGCTTAGGAGCATGAGCCCAGAACGAAAAGAAATTAATATTACTTGTGACCTAACATCACTTGGGACTAAGAAGAAGACTCCTATCACAACATTCGTACTTTTTTTAAAAAAAAAAAATAAGGACACAAAAAACCTGTGTAAAAGTTAAACAAAATCGAGTTATATCAGATTTCATAAAGGATCTGTATCTAGGGGACAAATGATTGTAAATAATAAGATCAAGATTATCTCGAGAGACTTGGTAAGCGAGCATGTCCGTACATCTGTTTGCTTCCCTAAACGTGTGTTCGAAGGTAATGATCCAATCTTTTATGACCAATGTTTTTGGGCTCTGTTGATAATTCTAGAGAGAGGATGGTTATCAGGAAAATTATGTTGTATAAGTGAGAGTGCTTACACAAAATCAGAATATACATTGATTTTGTCGAAATGGGCATTCCAACAAAGCTATAATCCCTCTAAAATGCCTAATAGTTATACTATTGTGCTTGGACAATAATCGATGTATTTGAAAAATCCCTTGATCCAATTGCCTTTATCATCTCGTTTGATTCAACCACAAATAGCAACTTTAATGGAGTTGACAGTCCTATTAATATCAAGGCAGATCCAACCTATTTTCGGGGGCGTCTAACGTGACTCTAGCCTTTTGCAATCGCGACTAAAGAGATTAACTTTAGATTGAAGCCTCATGTTGTTGGTGATTTATTGGGTACTAGAGAAAGCAATGTCGACATTCTGAATGGTTTCTCCGAAATAGATTTTTTTGTAATGTGTCTTCCAGATGTTCCAACATTCATACTTTTGTCACACGGGTATTTTAGGTAATGCCAGTGGCTCACCTATATAGACTACAGTTACTTATACTTAATATGATATTTAAAATTTCTATAAAAAATTACATTGTATTAAATATATCATACTCGGTGATTTTTCGTAATTCTATATTGAAAATCTATATATTTTTGGATATAATATTGCAAATCTATATTAATATGCGATTTTTAGGTATTGCACTATGATAAACGAGTTATGTTGCTTGCGAATGTAAATGATAGAATTGGCTGTAGATTTCAATTTTTATATTCATATTGATAGTATATTAGCTGATACTTTTGTAACAAAAAATATATTATATTCAGATATTACTTCATTTAAACTCACTGTTATTATTGACTTAAATACATTTATTTGTTTTGGAATATCAAATCTTATGTGATATTTCTATCGCAATTGATTTTCCAGGTTTCAAGGAAATTGATTATCTCTCTGGTTTGCTGTGTTTTCCAAATTTTTCAATGGACCATTTTTTAGACTGGTTATTCATTCCTTACTTTGAAAGAACAAAATCTCTGATCTGCATGTTCGAAATTATTGCGACCGGGATCATTTCGTGTTCTTTGCTTGTTGCAGTAAGTTTTTTCCCCCCCGTTTTCAATTATGTTGTTATAAGTCAAACTAATAGTCTGGGCTTTTGGTTTTTGTTCTGACCACCCTCTTGTTTGTATACATTTATTTTTATGTTAATAATAATATAACTTGACTTGATTTAAAAAAATTATTTAATTGTTTTTCTTAAACAAAGTCATACGTTGTTCGAATGGTACTAATCAATTTAATCAAACTTATTTTTTCCGTGCCCTACTTTCCAGGGGCTTCTTTGATGTTGAAACTTAGGTTATCAATCATCATTGTGATTTTTAGGAGGCGAAGTTGCAGATAAATCAGGCTAGAATTTCTTTAAGAAATGATTAATTAATATCAACAACAACTGAACACATTTCTCTTAGAATAGACAAAGTATGAAAAATAAATTGACTTTTATAATTAGTGAATTACACCACTCGCCATATATTTTATATTTGTTTATCAAAAAATTTGAAATAATTATCAATTTTAGAAGTTGATGAAAATTAAATGGATAGTCCCTCGAATTCGTAGGGAGAGGCTATTTCTACATCCGTGACTCGTACTTTGAATGTAATTAAAAAAAAAGGAAAAAGAAAAAAAGAAAAAGCAACTAAGTGCAAAAACATAAAAATAATAAATGTCGAAGAGTCACACTTTTCATGGTTAGTGAAAAGTATGAATTTTCAGAGTACTAATATTTATAGTGTTTTCTTGAATAAATTAGCAAGATTTAATTATGAAAGTAAACCAACAGAAAAAGAATTTATAGCTCAATGTGAGCAACATTTTATGAAGTAAAGCCAACAAACATAAGCAAACTGGCTATGTAAATGTACAATAAATACTTGGTTAACCATATTAACATTTTGAACCCTGAAAAAAATCAAGCTAAAGAATCATAATGAGTTTGATTTACTTTCTACAAAGACCTAATCACAGAGTGGAAGTCCCGGGCATAACCAAACTTGCAGTCCCACAAACAATAATGAATTTTGCCCATGTACTTCAAATCCACGCAATACTCTGCCATTATAGGAGCTGCCAGTCATCCTCAGGGGCACAGCCTCCAGCATCATTCACAGGCTCCATTCCTGTGGCATCATCATCGCAGAACCTACCACTATCAACTGACACATCATTGCCTGCGAATTGTCTCAAGGAGCGTCGTGATTGAGCTACAGTGAACAATGGCGCACCATTTGATTCATCAGCCAACTTGGAAGCCCGGGAACAGAAATCATCGAAATCATCTGGTAAGCATCATTGGAAAGTAGAAAAAAGTGGTAAGAAAAGGGTTAGATATTAGCCAAAAGCGCAAGAACTGTTGAGATTAAGCCAAAGTAGCCAGCAAACCTTTATCTCGGCAGTAAAATCCAATGGCCAGGGATGGGTCAATTGACTCTAGGGGAATGTGCCGAATCCCACTGGGAGGAATATGAATGTTAGAGACAAAGAACGAACAAGTTGTAAAAACAAAGATAAGATTGCAGGCCTACTTGCAATGGTACGATGAAGTATTAACCTCCTGATTGTCCCCATTAATATTTACAACCTGACAATGACCAAAACATACTAAGTGAGATGTGAATACAAAAACACCACACCAACAATGTCAACAAGCAGTATGATCAACCATATGCAGTAGTTAGATTGTCAACCAATAGTGATTACAAGATCAGTTTTTTAGTTGTGGCACCAGCACCACCACTGAAACAACAATGATAAGGTGACACTTGTACACTCTGCTAGCCATCATTTCTTAGTGGCATCTCAGCACAATGAATATTTTAACTAACCCAGACATGATGCTTAGAGCATTAATTGTAAATCTCCTCAAGTTAAACTCGGTTAATGATAAAGCACAATGACAATGTGTAAATCCACGCAAAAGTCTCCACCTAGTGGGATAAGTTTTATTGTTGTTTTTTGTTGTTGCTTTAGTTAAATGCAGGAGTTTCAAAGAAATTACAGTTCCAGCATCAAAGAAATAGGGGCAGAGGTGAACAAAGCGGGAAAACGATTGACTAGGCCAAAAAGTAAGCAGGAAAAAGAAGATAACTCAGAAGGTAGAAGATACAGAGTTCACTAGTGATTTTTCTTTTGCAAGCTTATCTTTTTTGTTTCTACATGTAAATAGTTTCTGAAAATGAAGCAACTGGAATTTTTTAACCATTTAAAGTTACTATAAGACAAAAGAAATATACGTGATATATCCAGATTGCACAGCCCAAATTTAGACTTCTTTTAAATATGTTTGCCCTGACATTATATGTATTTTTCATTTTTATATCTGAGGCATAGGGAAGAAAATCCAACAAGGCAGACCAGTACAAAATAAACATCGACCCCATCTTCTTAACAAGCCAAATCCTGTGAGATGAGAAATAAGCTATGGGTAGCACAAGCTAAATTTATCAGGGCATGGCTAGCCCTTTCAGGAGTTGGCTTCTGCACGCATGCTGTGCTGGATGTAATTTAGTATATATAATCATAAATGGTGGTTCTGCGTTGAGTTTTTGGTAGGTTTTCATGTGAACCATACTTCATTAATTGGTCACAGTGTTGGTATGTATTCAATTATACATAATTTACAACAGCTGAATGTTTAATATGATCTAATATGATGTGGCTATGTTACAACTACACCTACTATATAGACTACTAGTAGAGCTACTAGCTATATGCCAAGACAACTGTGTTGGTTAATATCCTGTAATCCGTTTTGCCCAGAAAACTAAAAAAGGCATCGCACATAAACTACCTTCACTTGGGCATCTCGACAAATTTTACCAAACTGCATGAGTCAACATAATTATTTTAAAACAACCAGTTTAAAACATTGCACATAAACCAGCAAAAAAAAAAAAAAAAAAAGGCATCGCACATAAAACACCTTCACTTGGGCATCTCTACAAATTTTAACAAACTGCATGAGTCAATATATATTTTAAAATAACCAGTTTAAGATGTTGCAATAATCATCTCTCAGCCTTTGAATTTTTTCAAGGGCTGAGATTAAGCCACTTGGTGCGTTGGCACCAAAGAGATTCGATCTTTTCCCTCCACTATGCAACTGATGTTTTTATCAATGCTTTCTAACTTCAGTTCATCTTTTTTGCTGCCCCCTCCCTTCTAAATACTGGTTCATCTCAGGGCTCCGTGTTTGTACGTGTGGGGAGGGTCAAGTGCCATAAAAAGATCATCTCCATTTCTTGTTTAAACCCAAAACTAAGCAAAGACACAGGCGGGGTAACTAAAATTTGACTATAAGGTCATGTTAGGTATGATGGAGCTATTTTTGAGGGAAATGGAAAAGGAGAGGGAGAGGGAGAATAATTTGAGAGAAACACTAAGTGCGTGTTTGGTTTTCCATTGACCAAAAATCAGTTTGTTAAAAATTCATTTGATAAAAGTCAATTTGTTATAATAAATTTTATGTTTGAATACATTTTTTTTAAAGTCAATTTGATAAACTAAAAGTTGTTTAGATAACATATAATCAAAAGTACTTTTATGTGTAATTACTAAAAAGGATGAGTTATATCGTGAGTTATATCATAAGTAATTTTTGTCATGCAAATCTTGAAACATTAAAAAAATTGATATACAAAAAATTGATACACAAATACATTTTAAAAATAAATGGTTTCACCTAATAAAGTATAAAAGGAAAATAAAAATTAATATTCTGCAGACAAGCAAGAAGAATGGAGGCGGACAAAAAATCAAAGCTGCAAGAGTATAAGGGAAGAGGTGGCAAGGTGAAATAAAAATTTTGGTTCATGTTTAAACTCCCTCGTTTATCATCCAACACCCAAAAGCGAAATATGAGTTTCAAAAGCTACCAGAGGTGGACAAAAAATCACAAGGTGAAATAATAAAACAATTTGGTTCATGTTTTAACTCCCTCGTTTATCAACTAACACCCAAATGTGATACGTAATTTTCAAAAGCTACCCATAGTCACATTCAGAAAGTCCACATTCAGCCATATTTCAAATCCACTTCAAGAATGTACATTCATCTCCCAATTTTTCTCCAAACGGCTTTTTGCTTTTAGAAAGAGCTAAAAGCACTTTCTAAATGTCAAACGTAGATTACCCAAATGGTGCCTAACTCTTCAGAATTTTAATTATTGTTTACCAAATAATTAAGAGAGATTTATGTCCGCCCCTTTCTTGAATCTTCCTTCCCTTGTACCAAAGATGGCCTATATCTGTTTGAGAGATTCTTCAGCTAGAATTTTAAAATAATAAATTAGTCCATATTGGTGGCAGCACAATTTTGTATTCATACTGAATTCAAGCAAGCACATAAACAATATCATTAAAAAGTTCATGTCAAGGAAGGAATAGTTGACTTGGTTCAATTAGAGTTGGGATCCAGCCAAAAATGGTTTAACTTTACTGATAAAAGAACAATTGATTATGTAAACAAAGATTACATATCTAGAATTATAAACTACATTATTGACATTATTAAGTCAGGAAACAATTCTATTTGAATGCATTTGAACAAAATATAACTGACCTGATTTCATCAGCAGAAACTTGTGCATAAATGAGTCAATTACGAGAATTTAATGAGATAAGATTCAGAACAATTCCATATTTATGACATTCCATGATCCGTGAAGAGGCACCAAATACACCAGTATCATGAAGGAAAGCACGAGAGATGCAGAAACTTCCCCAAAATAAACCTAACTAATGATGTTATAATAATTTTTCTATTTCCTCCAAAGAGAAGGTCAATTAAGATTTCAGCTTTGCTATTTGCCAACTCATATATCATGAAGAGTGATAAGCAAGCAGCATTAACAACACAAATTATTCATTTAGTGTATATGGCTGATTAATCAAACATATAACCTATATCTTAACAATTTGTACAATCTTAGTGCCATACCTGCTGAACATCATGTGGGTCAAGGTAGAATGCCTTTTCATTCTGAACACCAATAATATATGTTGAAGCACCTGGTTTCCCCCCCAAGATTCCAAGGCTCTGGGGAAATGTAAAGGTTGAGTGCAGTAACGAAATGTACCTAATAATTTACACATTCAACTTGTCAGAGATTGGATTTAAAGGATATAATCTCATTTTAAGCTCAAACTTAACAATCAAATTACAAATTATGAATCGTCTTTGACAATGATTCCCAATTATTATCTCCTTTCACTCATTGGTAAGATAATAGAGCACTGTATTCACAAGATCATGGGAGAGGGTGAAATCTTAGTGGATCAGTTTGTTGGCATATTTTTGGGAGTTATTGATTTATTTTCAGCTGCAGTTAAGAGTGAAATATTATTTAGAAATATGTCAATTAGCATTTGATTAGCACTGAGTCAATGTGGTTAGGATCTAGTTGGTTATTTTCTGATTTATTTAATTACTATTTCATATCTATTTTTATATTGTAAATAAGGCAATAACAAGTAGGGATAGATAAATAGATTTTAAGATTCATAGTAACTTGGGAGATTCTCCTTGGGCTTTATAACTATTACGAGTTTAAGATTCTTGCTCATATTCTAATAAAAAATTTTCTCGACCTTTATTAATTTGTTGAGTCAGATTCTGGTTTCATATTACAATAAAGACTTTCCTTCCTTCCTTCTCTCCATCCATCTTGGCTACTGACATAAGGTTGAGGAACCCTTCATTATATTACATCAGAATGAAAAATATCTGCCAATGTAACTTCCAGCGATTTGGTTGGTGCATGATGCATGCAACTGAAATGTTGGAAGCTCGAATTGGCAGAGAATGAAAAATATCTAACCCCCAACAGTTGCTTTCCTACAAGGTTCAAGATAAACGGTATAAGGGGAAGAATTTTCAAGCAATGTCTGGTATGTATGGTCAACGGTATAAGGGGAAGAAATTTCAAGCAATGTCTGGTATGTATGGTCACTGTCTACTTACTTTTTCTCGTGTAGGGGTAAGAGGCTCATTTCTCATCACACTCTCATTTCCTCTCATCTTCTATCATAAAGATTCAATATAAAAAAGAATACCCTAACTACAGAGCAGGCTGTGATTCAACATTCATAAGAACACTGGAGATATAAAGAAGCCATTTGAATGGAGAATAAAACATTAACTGCTCACAATGTCAAAGTAAACTCAACACTAGAATGTTATGCAAACTCCTATGTCTTTTGATTACACTATTTTAGTAGAAAAGATAAATGAATCACTTTTATATGATGGTGATAGGATCCAATATAGGAAGATAAGCAAGGATTTTAAACTCATGCAACTAATAAAGCCCAAGGAGAATTTCTACTAATGAAAACAAATATTGATTTTATTTCCAGATCCTTTCTACATGCTATAGGGAATAACTACCTGAAAAAATAAATAAATAAAATTACTGACTTAATGTACATGTACCATAAACCCACTACTCCTAAACATAAGGACAGCTTAACAAAACAAAATATATATATATATATATTCTAAATAATATTATTATATAAAAATATCTAAAATAACTTAAAATAATATTTATTCCTAACATTGCTCTAACTTTCCTCCTCACCTGTTATCCCAAAATAATCAATACTCTATCAAATGACCTTTCTAAAAGGGGGGGAAAAAACCATTAAATGGCCAAAGCCAAATGAAAATCATACAGTGCAATATGAACTTGTAAAGTTTACTCACCTAGGATTGACCTTATCAAGTCCAAGAACCAAAGGAACCAATAAAAGTAGGGGTGTCCAATCAGCATGGCCCTTTGAAAACTCAGAACAACATGTGATGGCATCTTCAATGCAGACAACTGGTGCTCCACCCCGCTCCCCATCTTCATCTCCAGAAACAACATATATGGCCATGGGAAATGGCTGTACTTCAGGGTCATTTGCATCCCTCTGACTACGGGCTAGAACTTCCCATGTATGACACATGGCATATGGGCCCACCCATGACCCCACAGCAAGTCCATAACTTTTGCCAGCGTGAAGAAGATTGTGGATAGAAAAAGGAGATGCTTCAGAATCACCGAAAAGACGCAAAATGTTCAGATATTCTAGATCTAGTGGCTGCACGTTATGGAAAAACACTACAGTGAGCTTATGCTGAATCAATGCAATTACTATAGCAAGATTAATCATTTAATTACAACATACCAGATGACAAGGAAATTGAAAATAGAATAAAATAAAACATCAAACTAGGGAAAAAAAGAAAAAAAGGATGGAGGAAAGCAAAATGGTAAAATTAGTGAAATGCCACATTGCATGTCAGTCACTAACCTTTTGCGGAGGTTTTCTCCATGATCTACCTAATTTATGAAAAAGTAATGCCTGGCACAATGAAAAAAACATAATAACATTAGTCTAAAATATAAATGATGACAACAATGACCAGGAACCAGGCAACAGTCACCTAGACTAAAATAGTCAATGAAAATATATATATATATATATATACCTGAGCAACAAGCATCTGACTGCTTCGAATCATACATCCCCAACTTACATCACTAGTATACTTTGAATCTCCAATAGAATCAAAACCTATAGGCAAGCATGCATCTTAGCACTTTTTAGGAATGTTCCAGTCAACTATTGCCTGTGATCAGAAAATAATCCCAAAAATCGAGGTACCGCACCTTTCCGATATGTCATTAAAATTTTCGATGTAAAATCTTGTTCAAATGCTGCAAATCCATTGCTTGTATCTACATTACCAGGTGATTCATGCTGTGATATTTTATGGCAGACGCCTAGGAGCCATATATCGCCATCTGAGGCTGAAAGATCAGTCCTGCTTGACCCTAGGACACGTTCATGAAATCTCCTCATTGAGCCAACAGTAACAACTTTCCTCACGGCAGCTGCCCACCCACTATGTCTAGAATGAACTGCTTTCTTTTCAGAAGCTGATGACTCACTATATGTTTCAAACACTGTAAAAGCAGATGAAAAGAAGCTTGACCATAAGGAAGCCTTGGGAAACTTACTGTCGATAGTTCCTGCTCGTTCACAGGCAGGCCCCTGGTTATTATCCAAAGTCTCTGTTGAACTTTTAGAAGAACATTTAGCAGCAGCAGCAATCTTCTCACAGATACCCTTCATTACCATTATGAAGCCAGTGAGAAGCAAGTTGGCTCATGAAGCAAACAGAGGTCGTGCAAATAACTGCCAGAAAAAGGGCACAATTATGAAACAAATTCCTGACTCCAGAAACATATGCCCATAACTATAGACTAATAATCTAAAAGCATAAGGAAATATCTAAGAACAAAAGCAAAACTATCTTGTCAGCTCCGGTAGAAGATAACATAAGCGGCATTTACAGCTACATCAAATAGGCATTAGGCACGATGCAATGAGGGAAAAGTATTAGTATAAGAGGTCAAAAAGTTCTTCCTGCCTGGTATAGCTATAACAAGTAACCATAATAAAAATGCAAAAAAGATAAGGCCAAGAGAAAACTATTATCCCCTTTAAAAAGAATTGGTTGAAAGTAATATGCACCAGTTATCCTGCATAGCCATGATTCTTGCCAAAACTACTATTCCCTGCAGAACCCTTTTTATATAGAAGGGAACCATATTACCAATGAAATACACTTAAGGGACCCGTTAATCGAATGTCATGCATTACACATCAGAATTTCACTAGAGGAAAAACATGAACTGTGCAAACTATATCCGAATTCTGAAGCAACCAAAAATAGTTCCTACAAGGATAACAACCGCAAAACCACCAAGTGTTCCCGTAAAGACATCATAAGGAAATCTGCAAAAGCAGCCTCAACTTACATGTTTCTAAGACAAAACAAAACAACTGGGGGTATAATTTAAAACGACAAAACCCAGAAAACGATAAATTTCAAATGGGAAACAGACAATCAAACTGAATATCGTAGGACAAGAGACTCACAGGTTGGTGAGCGACGATCTCAAGACGACGAGGAAGGAACAGCGGAGATAAAGGTCCAATCCTCACCTTAGCAACGAGACTTCAGACTCTCCTGCTCCAAATCTCCAATTTCTCTTTCCGTGTGTTGCTCAATTTCCTCCGAAGTTTGAGTCTTGAAGTTGAATTATGCCAATCCACGCTTCAATCAATACTCTATCTATCTCTGCTCTTCCAAGCTATCTACCGATTTTTTATTCGTTCATATCGCAGTAGAGGTTCTCATTTTCTTTTCGTTTTTCTTTCCTTCATTTTTCTTTCGCCGTCCCAAAAAAAAAAAAAACATCTTTCTTTTTCTTTCATCATCATCATCATCTCATCATTATGATTATGATTATGATATTATTATTATTATTATTATTATTTTGGTAGTTAAGAATTACTGTCTCCATATGTTGATTCTGTTCTTCGAAAATTCCGTGTATATCAAATTAAATTAAATTGTACAAACACGTTCACTCAAAAAAAAAAAAAAATTATACGAACACGTGAGTTTCGTTGATCCACGGGGAAAATAGATTTTCGCTGAAAATATTTTTATCTCTCCTTATTTCTTAAAATAATATAAATATAAATAAGGCTTATATTTTTTATTTGAGTTGAATGAACAACCAGCATGCTCAAGAGATAGCATTATAATAGGATAAGTGTGCAAGTTTATCCACATTATTTTTCCAAGAGTATTTAATGGGTTGAAGTCAAGTAGTACAAAATAAATTATTAACTTTTAAAAATGAAATATCCAATGGCTTAGTGTTAACTTCACTTAACAGATGTTATGTGGAGCTCAAAAATAACACATGACACTCTACAAGCACTATACATCAACATGAGTAAAGGTGTAAATTTAGCCATGAATTATTTTTTGAAGAGTATTGAGTAGCTTTATTATAAAAAAATAAATCATCCAACACCTTTCCATTAATTTTGACTAAATATCATTTATTTTCATACTTATGAGACCCATAACGTGTCAATCTTTTTAATTTTCTTACCTTCATTCTCAATCTCAGATTGAAAAGAAGGAGTTTAAAGAATTATTATCTGAAAATATTCACGAAAACGATACCAACAAAGGAGAAGAGATAATTCATGGCCAAATTAAGTTCGAATCAAGCTTATCCCATGTGTAGTAAAATTAAGCTTCTACTTCATTAGCATCATCTCCATGAATATCTTCAAATAAGAACTCTCTAAACATCTTCTCGAGTTGAAATTGAGAGCGAAGGCAAGAAGATTAGAGAGATCGACGTGTTGTGGTCTCATAAATATGAAAATAAATGGTGTTTAGTCAAAATTGATGGGAATGTATTGGATAATCCGTTTTTTTATAATAGAGGCTGCCTAGTTTTTTTCTAAAAATAGTTCGTGACTAAATTTGTACTTTTACCCATGCTGACGTAGAGTGCCATGTGTTATTTTAGGCCCCACATAATGTCCATTAGGAGAAGTTAACAATGGGCTACTAGATGCTCCGTTTTTAAAAGTTGATAATTTATTTTATACTACTTAATAATTTAAGCCATCAAATATTTTTAAAAAATAGTTCATGGTTAAATTGACTACTTTATCTTATAACACACGCACACATAAAAAGAAAAAGAGAACAAGAGGCTAATTCATTAATTTGAAGTAAATTATGCTATTTGCCTATTTTAATTCATTCAAATATATATAAGGAAGAATTTTAGCAGAGGACTAAGAATGTATACAATAATAAATAAGAGCTATTAAAATTTAAAATTTCATTTCAATCCTAGAGGAATGAGATAAAAATTAATTTAAATGATGAAAAGTCTAAAATAGCCTCCGTTTAAACATTAAAAAAATAGTGGTTAGATTTACATGAATATTGGAGAATTAACAATTAAAGTTACTTCATAAATTCGGATAAATTGATTGAACAAGTTTTCTTATTTTCTCGTAAACAAGTCAAACTAAGTAATTTGTAAGTGATGTTGAGAAATTAATAAGTAAAGTTAAAATATTAACAACCATTGTGACTTCATAAGTCCAGATGAATTGATTAAATAAATTAAAATTTATCAAGTCAAGTCAAGTAATTTACAAATAATACTTTAGAATTAACAAGTGAAGTTGAAAAATTATAACTAATATTACTTCATGAGTTCGGATAAATTGATTGAACAAGTAACTTATGATGCAACTTTAGTTTTAAATTTCTTAATTTTAATTGTTAATTACCCAACATTACTTGTAAATCTAACCTCTATATTTTTAATGTTTAAACAAGGGCTATTTTGGTCCTTTCATCATTTAAATTAATTTATTCAAATCCTCTGAGACTGAACTAAGATTTCAAATTTTAACGGGCCTTATATATTATTGTAACATCCTCGATTTTAAATCAGATTAATTAAGCCCAATTAGATTAATTAAATGTTTTAGTAATGTATGTGGCCAGAGAGACCTAATGGGTGTGTTTGGTTTTAATTCCAACCCTAGAAATGGGTCCAAAGGGAAGGTTTTATGCCATGCACTACGGATTGTGGATAAGCCACTACGGTGCATATATGGCAACACGCCTAGGAGATGCTTTTTGTACCATCCGCCGTAATGCATTCTGCGTCTACTGCACGTATGGTCACTTTCCTACTGTCATAAGTTCGTGAAATGAAGCAGAACAGAGGGGAAGAACAAAGAAATATGAGAGAGCAATGGGAGAGTAGTACTAGGGCTTAAAGAACTCAACTTTTGGGAATATTTTAGAGCTCATAAACATTAAGGATAAGCTTCCTACACTCAAATCCTCCCACCTTCTTCCATTTTCTTAATGGTAGAAGTTAGGGTTTGATTGATAATGATGATTTTTGATCCATATAGGTTATGGGTCCAAACCATTAACTTAAATAGAGTTGACGGCACTAGATTGAGCTAATGAAACTTGATATTTAGGGATTTATGATAAATGATAGTTGAGGGGCATTAAATGTCTGAAAATTCCCAATAAATGGGTTAGTTGGAACAATGTGTTTCCATTAATGACCATTAGAGATTTCAATGATGTTAATGAGGGTTAATAAAAGTTAAGAAACCTTATGGGTACTTTTATATGAGTCAAGAATGAATCTTGAGCATTAAAAAGTATTGAATTATTAGTGAAAATTAGCCCAAATGTAAATATTGATGATTTGCATTGTAAATGCTTGTAGAATAATTATCTTTGGCACTATTCTAGCTTCTTGGAAGCTTTGGGAGTTAGTATTTAGGGGTGAAATTTTTGACCTTCAAAGGTTTGTGGTAACAAGGAGAATTCTATCTTGTGCTTTTGTGTGTTAATTAGTTTATTGATTGATAAGTAATGATTAAAGTATGTAAAATTGATTAAAATGCAAATGTGGCATGAATTGCTTGAAAATCCACTATTATGATTTTTCACAAAAATGTAATCTATTGAAAATGTTATTATTGGATTTTGTATTGGGATTTGTTAAGAGTTCAATGATTGATTGTTATAGAAGTGCAACTATGTGACTTCCTTAGAGTTCAATGATTTGAGTTGCTAAGAGTTCAATGATTTTGAAATTTATGGAGTTCAATAATTGTAAATGTGTGAAGTACAATGATTATGATAAATATAGGTCTCAATAACTTGTTTGATTTGGAGTTTAATGAAAATGTGTTTAGAGAGTTTAATGACTATTTTGAAATGTGAAGTTCAATAAGATTGGTGGTAAAGTACAACGATTTGATTGTGCATAATATGTGGTTACCATGTATGTGATTGAGTACGATGATGTGATGATAATGCATGCTTAATTGTTGAGTAAATGCATGCTTAAAATTGTGCATATCTATGTATGGCTTGATCATGATAGGCATTCACCTAAGAAGAGGAGTAGAGGATTAAATCCATATGGTAGGGCTTCCATTTGAGTTGATGGCTTGCCTAGATTGATTATACTCATATTGTCCTACTTATTCAATGAGAGATTGTCCCATTGGTTCAATGATGGACTCGAACCTAGGTAGTTATTCACGTATTCAACAAGGAAGCTAGTTTAGGGAGAATGATGCCCCGTAGTATGAGAAAATGCAGGAAATCGTGTTTCACAAGTGAGTTGGCTAAGCCTTGGTCTGGTAATCCCCTCACAAGTATTTAGGCTAGAGAAGTTCTGGATTATGGACTATCCTATTGTACTATAGCCTACAGTTTCATGTTAAAGGAAAAAAGTGGATATAAGGGAGGTATGATCGTACATATAGTGAGAAAGGGTACATGGTTGTCTGTATTATGATCCTAATGATGAGAATCATGAATTGAGTTTTAATCCCTTTTAAGTATATGTCATTTGATTATATGACAAACTCTTTTTTTTATGAAAATCGTTAAAAGCATTATTTCACAAGTATGTGCTATTACGCCTAGAAACTTGAATTTATGCTCTTCAACGTTTTACATGATTTGAAAAATTGATTGTACTTTCCACTTGCATTTAAAATTAATTGACATGTATTAGTATAAGTTAGTTGGACCTTGGTTATTGAGTGATTGTACTCACCCAACTATCTTTAATATTACAAGGAATAGCTCAAGAGGATCGGATAGAGGAAAGCAACCAGAGGCTTAAGATTGTGATCTTATTTAGTAGGCCTCTTTATTTTTGAGTCTTTATGTGTATGTAACAATTGAAATTGCCAACTAGGAACCGTCCATTTTGATCCTTAATTGCATTATGTGTTTTGTGAATTATAAGCATATTTTGGGCCCTAAGAAGTGAGATTATGAAATGTGATATCTGTGATAGAGCCAAAATACTAATGCAAGTAAGAGTTGGGTATATTATGTGTTGATTCTGAATTATGTGATCAAAAAGGTGCTTACACTCTCCCCTTTGTATGTTTTTTATATTAAGGGGTTGAGTAGTGAAATTATAAATTATAAGTGTTTGATATGGTGTGGTGTGTTGCGCGAGTTAGTTTTGATGTATTGTATGTAGTCTAAGTAGTGTCAATGACTTTTGACTTTTGGTAAATGATTTGGACACTTAGTTTTATGGAAATTGTTGAAAAAGTATGAGTTTTGAAAGGAGTATCCAAAATTTAATTGTGTAAAAATTTGATTATGAGACCAAAATCATTAGTTAGAGCTCGAAAAAGCTTTTTGTAGACCTAGTTGTGTGTCAATTGGATGTTAGATGAGGGAATGGGGTGTGTCAAAAGTTGCCCTAAAAATTGTCAATTTGACAGCAAAGTTTGCTGTCTTGATACGTGCAATGCGTCGTGTAATGTCCGCCTTGA